TATTAAATGTTTTTTTTGTTTTATTTTTCAATGTGCCCTCCTTCTTTTTTTCCCCCTCACCGGCTCAGAGCAGGTGCATGCACTCTGGGCGGTTGTAACAGTCCAATCAAACACTTCTCTATTAGAAGTATTTAATTGGACCTCGTGACAGCACTGGTGATGCTAGATGGGGAATGAAAAGTCACACTGGGACCTGGATTTTAGGTTAGTTTAAACCTTATTTTGTAGCATTATTGTAAATAATTGTTTTTTAAATGTAGGATACTTAAAAAAATATGCCAAATAGGATATTATGACAAATAACACAAAAAATCAGTTAAAAAAAAAAAAAAGGGTTGAATTAACCCTTTAAGTAACTTTCTAGCTCTGATTAATTTTACTTTGCACTGATCAATCTAGTGAAAATAATGCACTGGTAAAGTATTGCACATGGTTACTAACAGACCCCTTATTGTCTCTGTAGCTAGCAATATGACAGTGCAGTGATAATAGTAAGAGAGGAGTGGCTGGCATGTTTCATAGCAGAGGCAGCAGCAATATGTACTAGAAAGCTAAAATTGTCATAGCAGGAACACTGCTGAAGATGAGATTGTAACGGACCGTTTTGCCCACAAGAGGTTAAAAACCGTTTAGGTGATATTCCCCTTTCAGATGCACAGGCAGCTACTGCAATCACCAATCCCCTGAACTGCAAACTACACGAATTCTCCAACTCCCAAACAGGAAACACACGAATACTGGAAACAGCTGAACAGGAAAAACCATACGAAAGGTTTACACTCCTGGCAGTCAACATACAATCCAATTCCCCCAATAACGAGACGACACTTCGTTTAAGGGTTAAGCAGGAACAGTCAGAGCTGTGGGTTTATTGTTCTTATATACATTAGTACCACCCACAGGGTTTTGGAAAACAACCAATAAACACATACAATACACTCAGACACTCCCACACAAAATCCTCCCCTCTGCCTGTGATACAATTATCTTACAGAATGGGTAATGTAATTATCACCGGCAGAGAAATACAGTTTTTACACATTATTCATAACTTGAAAAGTATGCATCACATTCACATTCAGAATCAGCATACTCCAAATACAAACATATGTCAAAATCATCCAAATTGGTCCATTGGTTCAAAAGATAGATCAAAGTCCTTTGTGATCAAATGAAGCATGGCTTTTCTGCCCAAAACCAGTTCCACAGCGTCTTCTATCCTGGAGATAATTGGGAAGTAATCCAATTATCTCCAAGGACAGAGGCAAAACTCCATTGAACACATGGCAGCAAAAGACAATAAAACACATAAAAATATATAACTGTGCAGCCATTGCATAAAACAGGTACATTCAACATATCCCCAGATAGCTCAGATCTGTGCGCACATTATTACTGAATGGCGCTCAGAGCACACACATACAGTTCAATTGCCATGGAGCCAAAGTCTTTCCCATAGTCTTTCATTATACGAATGGGCTCCATGGAATAGCTATCTGGGGTATCACTGCTCAAACAGGGCCAGCACCGAATGACCCGGCTTTCGTGTCTTCGCAGGGGAAAATAAAGCGTTTCAACATGGTGCCATAGTCTAAAGGCAGCAGACGGGCAACCAAGCTTCTCCAGTGCACAGTGGCTTGGTTGGTTCTGCCACAGAGATCATATAAGGTTGAGCTAGAGACTCAGAGAGGCCTAAAGAGGCAGAATACAGCTCATTGAGAAGTATTAGCAGGCAT